ACTAACGAAAATGGGCCACTGCTCCACTAGGAAATTTAATTTCTTGGCACATAAACCAAGACACGCTGCAATTGGTTATAAAAAAAAAAAAAAAAAAAAGGAGAATTGAAAGCATGAAAAGGTCAAGACAAAGGGTTACATCAATCAATGTCTGAATAAATGAACGCTAAGATAATCAGAATTTGGTTTCAGCTGAATCAGCTCTATTGAAAGAAAAGTTAAAACAAACTGACAATGAAAGAATAGTGTGGAAATGGTAAATGGAAGACCCATGACAAAAAAATTGTTGCGCAGACCCAGATGCACATAAAAGGGCATGACTTCTCTCACCAGGGTTAACTGCTTCGCCCCCACCGTTGAAGCCATAATCAATCCCACCACCACCATTAACGGTGGCTGTGTTGCTGTTGAACGTTCCCAAGGGGTATGAAGAGACATTGTGGAATCTTCTATTATATGGTGGTGGTTCTGGTCTTATGGGGGGAGTTGGATCGTCCATCCTTCTATACACAGATTGGCTCAACTTTCTCCTCCTGTAGGCAGTGGACTGTTCTCTATACTTCCTTGCCATTATCACATGCCAGTGGTTCTTCACTGCATTATCAGTTCTGCCGGGGAAAAGCCTGGCTATCATTGCCCATTTGTTTCCATAGAGCCTGTGAGCTTGCATCAGCCTCTCCTCCTCTTCTTCTGTAAAAGCTCTTCTGTTGATCCTCGGATCCAACTGATTAAACCATCTCAGCCTGCAACTCTTACCTGAAAAGCAAGATTCACTTTTTTCTTCACAACCAAAGAAAGTTAACAACCACCAGCTCGACCATGTTTATCATACAGAGATTAAAATGAGATGAAACAATGAAAATCTAGAAAAATCGGAAAGGACGATGATCTAACCGGATCTTCCTTCTAATTTTTCTGCTATAAGGTTCCAGTTCTGGGGGCCATAGAGGGCTACAAGTTCCTTAAGCTTAGCATCTTCCGCAGGCCTCCAGTGACCTCTAGCACAAAGCTTGGACTGTCCAGTATCTGATTCTTTCCCACTCATGAACCCATTTTCATTGGAGCTCTTTTCATGTATGCTAGCATTGAGATTTATGGTACCATTGTCTTGATCTCCAGACCCCAGACTGCAATCTGAGACACCGTTTCCTTCATTCTCCATGAAGGAAAAACCCCAGGTAGATCTTTCATGTTCCATTTCATGGGATGAAGAAATGCTTGAAACTGCAGCATAATTTGGACCTAGGGAAAGAGAAGCCATGTCTGGATAAGCCATTGAAGAAGAGGTCAGAGAATTGGTAGTGTCTATTGGTGCATAGATGGCACATTTGTTATCCATGCCTTCATTTCCTGATCTCCTGAGGAATGCTGTTACACAACTGTTACAAAGTCATCTTCATGACCTTGTAATGAGAAAAGCTGTTTTTTCTAAATTAAACAGACAGGAAGAAAGGAATAAGAGGAGAGTTTTCCACTGCTGGATGATCAAAACACAGTTGTAACAGAAACCTACTCAATTTCCTTCCTACTTAACTCTTGCGGAGAGAGGGAGAGGGAAAGAGAGATAAGGAGAGAAACTGAATGAATGCTTAAAAGTTGTTAACCACCCCGACTGACCTCTGACCCTTTACTTTAACTAGTTCTTGTTTTTCCCATATATTTTTTATGGGCCATTTTTTCGCGCATCCGACTGTACTGCAAAATATGAATGCTAGAATGAGGAGAATGACCCATTTTGAAGGCACTCTCACAATAATTATTTTGAAATTTAATATAATTTAATATTATTAAAAAAATAATTTTTTTAATTTTTTAACTCAAAATTCGGATATAAAATTTTTAATTTTTAATTTTAAATTCTTAATTTATTAATCCATCTTTTTGGGGTTTAAGTAATTTATAATTGATATTTTTTATTTTTAATAGTCTTGATTTAATTTTTTAATTATATATATTTTTTAAATAAAAATTTAATAATTTATATAAATAATAAATAAAATTTTTTATTTATAAAGTTCTCATTTAATATTTTTATTTGATTAAAAAATTTAATTATTTATTTTTATACAACAAAAAGGAATTTATTAAATAGAGTTCAAGGAAGTTTTTAATTATTATTTATATAATATATTAAATTTTTAATTAAAATTTATATTTAAAAAATTAAAATATACAAATAAGACTACTAAAAATAAAGAAAGAGTAGTTAATGATGATGGTTATATTTAGAACATAAACAATTAAACAATATCAACCTTATGATAATAGATAGGGAAATAATAAATATTTACACGCTCTTTTTTTACACCTTTCGCAACACACTCATTCTATTTTTGTTTCTCTTCATTTCTTCTATTAACCCAACAGCTCTCCTCTTCACCCAACACTAGTTCTTTGATTTACAATCTTCTTCCTTCTTTCCCCTCTTCCTCCTTTCTTTTGGAGAATCCAAATTGGGTTCTCCAGATTGGGTTCTTAAGGAGAACCCCAATCTGGTTCTCTGGGAGCTTAAGAACTTGATTTGGGTTCTCCTGGAGAACTACAGTAGAACCCAGATCGGGTTTTGCAGCAAAACCCAAATCTGAGTTCTCTAGTAGAACATAGATGGAGAACCCAGACCAGGTTCTCGATCTAGGTTCGCCAAATGGAGAGAGAGGAAAAAAAAAAGAAAAAGAGGAAAAAGGAAAAAGGAAGAAGATAATGAATTTGTTAGAATTTTTACAAATTTGATAATATAGTATGTTATTTGGTTGATAAGAAAATTGAAAACTTTTTCCAACATTTCAAACCTAGGTCAATCAGAACAGCAAGAGGGAGAAAGGAAAGCATGGAGAGTAAGAGGAAAGCAGAGATAGGGAGAAAGGAAAGCAGAAAAAGTAAGAAATGGTGTCTAAAAATAACGGATTAAGTAAAAGAAAGTGAAGGTATGTGTGACAGATGGTGTAGACGGAGAGGGTAAATGTATCATGGTTTTATTAAATATCAATTCTTCAACTATTTTAAAATAAATAAACTAAACAAAACTAACTCTAATTATAGATAGTTTGTTGTTTAAAATAAAATATATATTTATAAATAAGATTGTACATGTTAAATTAAGTTTTATACTTTAAGTGTGTTCTTTCATAAAAACAAATTCTACGTTTATTCACAAATTAAAATGTTGCACAAAATTACTTTCATAGTAAATTTTAATATACAAATGCCAGCTGCAGCTTTTAATGGATTATCAATTGCAGCCTTTGATCAACTGAGTCCACCTTATTTTTTAAAAAAGTTAAAAAATTATTTTAAAAAAAAACTTGGCAACTTAGTGAGTGCAGCCTCCACTACTCTTCTAATTATTTGTTCTTGAAATACAGAGCAGAAATAGATCCCTAACAATTAAATTTTAACAAATCAAAATAATAATAATAATAAAAAGAAAAGAAACAAGATCAATGTTTAGGTTGAAATTATTGTTATCATCAAATTTACTAAAATTATAAATTTAACTGTAATTTTATTTATTTATAATTTTTTATATAATTAATTATAATATTTAAAAATATCTAATATATTTATAAATTAATTTTAATATATTAAATAATAAATATTAATTTTTAATAATTTTTCTTAATTAAATTTAAATTTTTATAATTTTTAATAAATTTATCAAATTTAATAGTAATCATAATTATACTCTGACTTTTAACTGACCCAGTACATAGACAGAACCGAAAGCAAGTCAATGAAGTTGAAATTAAAAAATTCACCACCAATCATCTGTAGCTGAATGTTTAAAAACTAGAAGCTTCATCAAGAAGTTAAGGCTAGATTTGGTATAGTTATTTCTAATGGATGGTAACATGTCACTGTTAGATAATACTACTAAAGTGGCTAATATCAATTTAAAAACAATTTATAATAAATATTTTCAAATATTTTAATATTTTTATTTATATAATTTTATATATTAGTTAATAATTAATTTTTTCACTTTAATGAAATTTGTAATATTATATTTATTTATTTAATAACATATAAAATTTATAAAGTAAGTTACATAAAAAAAATGTTTGCATATTATTATTTAAAAGTTATAAAATAATAAAATTAGGAATAAAATAATTTATCTGTCAAGGTTTAATGAATTTCGTTATAAGTATATAGAGACTAGTGTTTATAAACTATACTCGTAAAAATATTACACAAAAAAAATATTTAAAATTATTTTATTTTAATAAAACACTATAAAAAAATTTAAATTAAGGCGTTTTGGTATTTTTAATAAAAATTAATTAAAATGATATAATTTTAAAATTTTCTCATAAATTTTTACAAATGCAACTAATAAATATTTTTTAATAAGTTTTATTACAATATGCTGGAATATATATTATATTAATCAATCATCATCTAACATATTGTAATATTACTCAAATCAAATTAAATTAAAAATTCTAACAAACAAACATTACATTATGTTAGAAAATTATTTGCATAGGGTAAGATTCCAATTTGAAACCTAAAGTGCCAAAACATATATCTTATCCACTAAGTTAAGACTTCATCAATTTTAATAAACCTTTTAAGTGAAATTCATCATAAATATTAAGATAAGTGAAATTGCATAGACACAAATCAATTTTAATAAACATTTTTAATGATATTTCTCATAAATCTTAAGGTGTGTGACACTACATTGATATTAATTAATATTGGTAATAGTTATGGTAATCATTAATTGTGTGTAGTGCCATCAAAATAGTTAAAATTTTATTTTAATTTAATTGTTAAAGTAACTAATAATTAATACAATAGTTAATATTTAATATTTAATAAATTAAAATAAATTTATATATAAATACTTCTGAATATAATAACTAACAGTTTAAAATAAATACTATAAATTAAAAAAATTATAGTTAAAATTAGTGATTTTAATAAAATTATTAATAACTACAACCCAATTATCAATATTTAGAAACACTAATTTATAAACCAATTTTAAATTGTTAAATAATATATATTATACTATTTTATTATCTATCAATTAATTTTTATAATTATCAATTATTTTTAACAACTAAATAAATAATAAAATAATAAGTTGTGTGGCAATAGCAATAGCAATTCCTCATGTTTAAAAAATCATGTCTTTGAACTAAGTTCAATAATCAAATTTAAAATTATATATATTTAAGAAAATTATTTTCTCTAAACACACTAAATTAATATGAATAGTACATTTTAAAAATCTTTTAAAGAGAACTTAATTTTAAGATATTTAAAAACTGCTCTATTCACATAATGAATGCAAAAAAGAAAAACAAAAAAATATTTTATAAGTTAAATTAAATATTTAAATTAATAAAAAAATTAATAAAACTATTTTGTTTGTTATTTTATTACTAATAATTTAATAAAATTTGTACTTAAATTGTACTCTAATATATTTCTTTCTTTTTAAAATAATACTAGATTTTTTATTTAAAATTTATCTTAAAATAATAATTTTTATTTTAAGAAAAATAAATATTTTTTATTTTAATTTGATTATTTTATAATTTTAAATATTTATCTTTTACTTAAAATAATTATTTATTTTTATTTACCTTTTAAAATAAAATAAATAAATAAAATTATTTTTAAAATTTTAATCTATAAATAAAATAAAAAATATTTATTATTTGAGAAAATATAATATAATCTCTAAAACATGACTCTCATTAAAAAAAAAAAAAAAAGAAATTACCGAAATTTATCTCATCCCAATTAGAAGATATCATCATTTACACGTGTGGAAACTGGAAACTGGAAACTGAGGGTTTCAAAAAGGTTCTTAGGCTGTCTATCTGTCTGTCTGAAGATTGACAAGAAAGAGTCTAAAAAACGTGATGGGGGTGTACAGGTGTGGGGTTGTATAGCCCTAGACCCCCTTTTTCTTTTCAAGGAAGAAATTGAGTAACAGCCTTGCTGTAGTTGTAGACTTGTGGTAGTAGATAACCATAGCATCATCATGTCCTAACTCAAGCAGGGCATTTTTTAACTAGGGTTGTAGCTAATTTAGCTAACCACCTGAAGTTGACCCAATAACCAAACCCGCCCGAGCCAACCAGCTTCTCAACGCAACACACACAAATTGCTTCCTTTCCCCCAAACGAATTATAACAGTACAAAAAGGCCATTGTCTCAACGTCACATTCAACGTCATATTCATCCCCTAAAACTCCTTACCTGTTCTACTTGTCTCTTTCATCCCGTAGAAATTTTAAATTTCTTTTTTTTTTTTCATTTTTTCTATTCATAGTAATTTTGAAAAATGATTTATCTCATAATACAAGTTTCATTTGCAATTACACGAGTCAGATGTTACACTGTTTGAAATTAACAGTACGAACATTCTGTAAAGGCCAAAGAATTAGTTTTAAAATAGATATTTTGAT